CTTTGATGTAGGAAGTATATTGATAATGTAGTTAGCTGTCATGAATGCATCAACCCAGTATTTTAATGGAATTCTAGCATGATAGAGCATAGCTAAGCCCAGTTCAACCACATGGCGATGTTTTCTTTCAGAAATCCCATTCTGTTCTGGTGTATAAGGACAAGAAACACATTGTTTGATGCCACAATTCTGTAAAAGGAGCTGAAATTTGTTGCTAGTGAATTCTCCTCCACCATCACATTGAAAAGCTTTGATTCTACGATCAAAATGATTCTCTACTTGCTTCTGAAACATGACAAAGATGTCATAGAAGTCTGACTTCAATTTCATTGGATAAAGCCAACTATAACGGGAAAAATTGTCCACAAAGATGACATAGTATCTAAAATTCTGAAAAGAATTGACTGGTGATGGACCCCAAATATCACAATGAATCTTCTCTAAAGGAACAGTAGACACAGAATCGGATAAAGGAAATGGTAATGCAGTACTCTTGGCAACTTGACAGCTTCTACATATAGTTTGAGTCCTTGTAGTACAGTGAATCAATTGCTGAGTCTGCAGATGCTTCAATGTTTTAAAGTTGGTATGAGCTAATCTCTGGTGCCACACATCTTCTCCTACAGCTGTATGTCTTTGAGTGAAGAAAGCCTCTGTGATTTGTGGATCCACTTGGTAAAGTCCTCTAATTTTCCTTCCGAGCATCACTGTTGTGTTGGTGCGATTGTCCTTTATATAAACCCCATTTTTATCAAAAACAAATGAACAGGGATAATCATCTGTTAGTCTTGATACTGAAAGGAGATTCTTTTTGATTTCAGGAACAATCAGCACATCATTTAGAGGCAATGAATTAATTTCAGTATGTAACACAGCATCACCAATATATGCAATAGGTAGACATGAGCCATTCCCTATCATAACTGTATCAGTTCCATTGTACTTAGATGAGTTATGAAGAATACCCGAATCTGCAGTGATGTGAGCAGTTGCACCAGTGTCTGGATACCACTCACTACCTTTAGAATCTTCAATATGCATTGCTGCTAAGGCTGTTGGTATCTCCTCAGCCTGATATGAGTTGTCAAATCGATACCAGCAATGAAGTGCATCATGTCCTGGACGTTTACAAATTTGACACTCCAACCGAATAGTATCACACATCTTCTCATCCTGCAAATGTTTGTTAGATGTTAAACTTGGAGAGGGATATGATTTGGTATCTTGATACCTTTGTGAAGAACCAGCATATGAGCGAAATCCTTGACCAGAACTAGGAAAGTTATTAAACTGCTTAAAATGTTGATTCTCCTGGTTCTGATTCAAGCTATTTGGTCTGTAACTCTGATTTCTTCCAGGATATCCATAACTATGATTTCTACTGTTAAATGGACGTCCTCTGCCATAACTACGTCCTCCATGATTACTACCTCTTTGACCTCCAAAACCAAAGTTTTGCTGAGCAAGTTCTCTGTCAGATTCCACCTTCTGCTGAACTTCAGACTTTCTTTGTCCATAGTAGGCCAGATGAGGATTATACTGACTTGAGGAATAGCTCTGTAATCTTGTTTCGAATCTTTCTAACTGTGATATTACTTCATCATATTCTGGCTGAGGTTTGAAGCAATACATGGTGGTTCTGAAACTCTCATATTAAGATCCTAATCCCTCAAGAACACCAAACATCTTCGTTATCTCATCTACAGGCTTTCCAATAGCATTTAGCTGATCACAAATTGATTTGTATTCTCTGAGATACACAGATAATGCTCGATCCCGTTTCTGACAGGCTTGTAGTTTCCCTCGTAGTTCAAATTCTCTTGCTACAGACTTCTGTGTAAATCGATTAAGTAGAGTTTGCCATACCTCATATGAAGTTTCCAAACCAATGATCAAACTCAGAATATTCTCTGATACAGCTCCACTGATCCATGATGATACAAGTTGATCTGTTCTTATCCAATCTGTATAATCGGGATTCACAGCTTTAGCTTCATTACCTTCAACTTCAATCTGTAATGTTTGAGTAGGTGATGGAATTTCACCACTAATGAAACCAAATAGTTCTTGGCTTCGCAAGAATCTGTGAAACTGTGCTTGCCAAAGAAGGAAATTGTCGTCAGCTAGCTTGATCGTGACGAAGTTGGAGATGTTTACATGAATCGGGAAAGGATATTTCTGCGTTCTGGTTGCCATTGATGAGGCTCTGATACCATGTGAAGTCTTACGAGCAGGAAGAAAAGAAGAAACAATGAGGAAAGAAACAGAAAGAAAAGAAAACAGAGCTTTTGGATTTTACATCTCTCTGAATACGAAGAAGATTTTCATTATTCAGCAACTCAAATCAATACATTTCTTCTGTTCTCTTATTTATATTGTACAGAACAACCATTCAACAGCTCATCTAAAGAAACTAACAAACTAACAGACTAACAGAAGAAAAAATACAGTTGGTTGTTCATTCAGTTAACACAAAAAATAGAGTAACGGTTTTGCAGTGGAAGAGTTGGACACGTGAAGCTGGAGGTTTTTTTGTTGACTTCATCTTTGTTGACTTTATCTTTGTTGACTTCATCTCTTGCCTTCTTGGTTGAATCAGCAGTATCTTCATTTCTTTTCTCTGTTGAAACAGAGTGACAGTTGGTCTTAACACGACCGGGTGTGCAAGCTAAAGGCTTTCGATGAATCAAAGGCGGGTGTCAAGGGCCTCGTCGATGCGGGGATTACCAAAGTTCCTTCTATTTTTGTAGAACGCCCAGAGAACCTGCGAAGTGCTCTGGCATCGGGCGACAGCTGCTTCCGTGTACCTATAATTGACCTTGAAGATATTGCGAAAGATCCATCTCGGCACCAGGAGGTTGTGAATGAAGTTCGAAGTGCATCCAAAACATGGGGCTTCTTTCAGGTGGTGAAGCACGGGATCCCCACCGCTGTTCTGGAGGAGATGCTGGATGGAGTGCGCCGTTTCCATGAGCTAGATGCTGGAGAGAAGAGATGTTTCTATTCGCGAGATTTCACAAGAGGCATTGCGTATCACAGCAATTTTAATCTGTATAGAACAGAGGCGGCTAATTGGAGGGACACCCTATTCTGTATTATGGCACCTAATGCTCCCGTGGCAGAGGACTTGCCGGCGGTATGCCAGTAAGTGATTTTGCAGAATATTCAACCACAATGTCTTATGATATTTTGTTAAGATTTTGCTTCCCACGGATTAGGAATTTGCGACGAATTGACCCACTAAATTTTTTTGAACACCCTAGTGACATAATGCTGGAATTCTCGAAGCAAGTGATGAATTTAGGAATCACCTTGTTCGAGCTACGGTCGGAGGCGCTCGGGTTGAAGCAGAACCATCTGAAGGACATGGACTGCGCTGAGGGACTCGTCCTTCTGAGCCAGTACTACCCCAAATGCCCACAACCAGAGCTCACTCTGGGAGCCAGCAAGCACGCCGACAGCGACTTCTTCACCGTGCTCCTGCAAGACCATGTAGGAGGTCTCCAAGTTCTTCATCAGAATCAGTGGATCGATGTGAGCCCCGTGCCAGGAGCGCTGGTAGTTAACATCGGAGATCTGCTTCAGGCAAGTCTCACCTAACATACTCTCTCTCTCCCCACGTCTTATCACTAGAGACCCTGTTAGGCACATCAATAAAACACAAACAAAGCATTTTAAGCGTGAGCTCTTTATCCGGCAGTTGAGCGTTCACTTTCTAATCACGAACCAGAGCATTTTTTTCAGCTTGTCTCCAATGACATATTCAAGAGCGCCGAGCATAGAGTTTTGGCCAACAACGTGGGGCCGAGAGTGTCTGTGGCATGCTTCTTTTACACGGCGGCGTCGCCATCTCCAAGACTGTATGGACCCATTAAGGAGTTGATTTCGGAGGGCGATCCACCAAAGTACAGAGAAACCACCATCATGGAGTATGTTTCCCGCTACAGTGCGAGAGGCGATGAGACTTCGGCTCTGCAGATGTTCAAGCTGTGAGTTTGGCAGTGGCAAACATCTGGTGGTACAAATCGGAAAGGGAATGCCTACATTAGCAGAAAGTAAACCCGAGCGTGATACGAGCTTTCTGGCTAGTTTGTTACTTTTCATATTCGTATTATGTCGTCGCTTTGATATGCAAAAATAATTTCAATAATTGACTACGTCATAGAATCAAGCCACTAGGTGCAAGTGCCTTAGGAGATTATATGCAATATACCTGAATATTCAAAGCACAGAGCTCCAATGTCAAGTCCATCTCAACCGATGATCATGTCAATCCCGTGTTGTTGAGACCTTCATAATTAATGATTGATGTAGGGTTGGTTCACATAGTTTATGAACCAAGTGCCAACTTTCTTCATGGATAGATTTGCACCAGCATTATTAAACTAAGGAACTGGGTTGGAACGACAATTCGATCTACAATGTTTTAGTTTTCTACTTAAAGTGTATTTAAGTCGAATCCTAGGTCATCGGTCAGTGCTTGAAAGTCCTATATTCTTCTGAACTTGTTCTTCCGAGAATATCAGTTTCTTGCCCAGACAATGTTTCTCATGTGTACACATACTTCATCTCAAGAAGCGATGGCTATCTTGGAGTGGCAGAGAGAAGACGAGGCTGTGTTGTCTAGCATGAGGAGATCAATGAATTGGTACAAACAATGTGTTTGTCCCAGAAGTAACAAAAGCTTTTAAAACATGGGAAGCGGTCTCTTTATCATCTGCAAAACTATAGTTTTAAGATGGGAAAAAGCTCGAAGTTCACCAAAACGGCGATATAGGCTAGCTAACAGAGGGAGATAGAGCGGGAGAGAGGGAGAACTTCACCTTTATTACAGAAAGATTGTGTTTCAGTTTTGCTGCTACGTTTATGTTTTGGTGTCATAAGCTCCAACCTTTTCGGGTAATTGAGCGTTCTGGTGTCACAAGCTCTGAGCAGCAGAAACCTCTTCTCGTTATGAAAATTCACATGACAGAGAGATTAAAGACGTAAAAACAGCAACAATGCGCACTTATGCACCGCAGAAAGAAGGGTGCAGATTTAACCCCAGGGAAGAGCCATTTCCGCAGCTCAGTTAGCTTCTGGCGCAGATTTCTTTGCTTGAGTCACAAAAGTGGCCTCGAAGCTTTGTTTATGGGGTTAGCAGATTGATCGAACTTTTCTGCCCTCCTCCTCTCTCCCAACGGTGTTGTTCTAGCAATTCCTAGCATCATCTTCCTTATATTCTTACCCGGCAGAGCTCAAGTCCTTCGACAACTCAAAGGCCGGCGTGAAGGGGCTGGCCGACACCAAACTGACCCACATAACCCAAATCTTCGTCCACCACCAACTCAAGCTCGAGCATGATCATGCCTCGGAAGCACTAGGATCGAGCCTGCGCATTCCAGTCATAGACTTCGGAGGTGTGGGCCGAACCCGTAGAAGCCCTGGCGAGCGGAAGCAGATGGTCGATCTGGTCCGGGAGGTGTGCGAGAGGAGGGGGTTCTTCCAGGCGGTGAACCACGGCATGCTGGCGGCCCTCATGGAGGAGATGGTTAGAGGGATCAGGAGGTTCCATGAGCAGGACCTCGAGGCGAAGCGCGAGCGGTACTCGCGAAATTACGGCGTGAGGAAGGTGCTGGACAACAGCAACTTCGACCTGTACAGAGCTCTGGCGGCGAACTGGAGGGACTCGATCACCTGCGTCTTGGCTCCTCGTTGTCCGGATCCTCAGGAATTGTCTGCTGTCTGTCGGTAATCTCTGCGTGTGCGGGTCTGTGCGTGCGTACGCGGGGAGAACACACTCCTTGAAAGGCTGAAACTAGATATTTTTTTGGGACTTGCGACAGAAAATGCTTTCAATTTAGTTATGCGATACCCACTTGTGTCGTGCGAGAGGGATCAAAGGGTTCCATGATAGTTTTTGTTTTTTGACACAAAGCAAATCAGGGGAAAAAAGCGAAGAAGCTCTAGCCTAGATAAGATTTAAGATGTGATAATTAAGTAATAATGGGGCTTTTGGACTCGATGTAGCTGCTGCTTGGCCTGGCGAAACGAGTGCCCAGTGTGCTGGAAGTTCTTGTGATTTTGTCAAAGGGCTTCAGAGTCGTAGTTCAGTTGAAGCGAACGATCAAAAGGGGTCATAGATCTTCAGGGGATTCAGAGTCGGAATGCCAATAGATTCGGTTTGAATGGAAAAACTTATTCCTTTTCTGTCCTTCCTCTTTGGTATGCAAGAATGATTGCACTGTTACGCGAATCATGAACTCGTATAATAGAACCTCAATTTTGATAATTGGATTTGAGTTCTTATGCAAAGTAAACTGACCTGGTCCATTTATATCCCCACATCTAAAACCAATTTATGTAATTCAAGTACTGTGGAAATTACTTGTCAGTAGGATCCTGTTGAGAGAGTGAGGTAGAGATTGATTTTCTGATGTTCATTGCGTTTGACTAATCACTTGTTCTCTAAAACCAACCGATTTGCAGAGACGTAATAATTGAGTACAAGGACAGAATTTAGGAATTGGCAGATAGTCGATGCGAAATATTCCAAATGTAAACGAGTCAAAGTACTGGAGTAAGCTACTTGTTGGTTCCATCGTTGTATTCCAAAATGGATGACCAAACGGGGGTTGCTCCCCCTTCATTTAGAGAAAATAAATCAATTACTCATGCCATGTCAGGTACTCACTCTTTCAAAAGAATAAAACGAAGAAGAAGAAGAAGAAAGAGTAGTAGCTTAACATGTCAAGAACATAAATATTTTTTTATTAATATATGCACAAGGAACGAAATGTTACCGCGTTGATTTTCATGTAATGCAACGAGAAGTTCATCGTAACATGGCCCCAAAGCCCACGCAGGAGTGCCTAATCCCATTTCTTTTCTTCAAGACCGTGTCAGTCTGTACCCTTCGCTATCATAGAGAATCGGATGCCCACAGTTTCTCCGTCGTCTTCTGTTGACCGTCATGTGCATGAAAATTGAATAGGCTTACTGCTGTGGAGGTTGATTGAAGTGAACTCCCGACAACTTTGGGACTGCCGTGGAGGTCTTTCACGCCACCCCAACATTTGTATATATTATATTTCCACGTTCCAATGAAAATGAAAACAAAAAACTCAATAATAATTTTCTAAAATCGAAAAAGGGGTACCTGCTTTGCTTTTGTCGCATCTTTTTGCACATGCTTGATCTTCTTATTGTTCAATTCCATTCCCACTTGCCATTATTTGATTTCCTACCATTAACATAACAACAAACGAGGCGTCAGGTTTCGACTTTCGTGCATATGGAACCGCTGTGGACCATCATTACTCTGGTTTTTTCTTGTAATGTTTATCATGGTCTCCTCCCTTAATTTGACTAATGCTTCCTCTTTTTGGTGGTGCCTCGTGATAAAACTCCGTGGACGAATATATATAGCAAGGCACGGCATCTCCATGTGACTTCATGCTCGGTCGCTCATTATAAAGTTCAGTCAACCAGATCCGAAATGCTCTCCCCGAAAAGAGAGTTGGCAAAATCCGACCAGATCCGAAATGCTCTCCCCGAAAATAGATCCAATCCCACCCGAGTTGACTAAGAAAAATCGGCCACTTGTGACCAACTCGAAACCCCAAACCAACCCACATGCCCACCGTCCACACACTTTTGTTCAAGCCCTCTAACTTGTTTTTCTTTTGCTGATAAAGACGAAATCGCTATTCGCTTGCCATCAAATCCTCCCAAGCGTTAGTTGTAAATTTCTCCACTATCACGTAGATATGGATATGTTATTCTTGACTTGACAGATTTAATTGATAGTTATTGAAACTGTGTCTTTTGGGTGTAAATTAACAAAATTTCACATTAAGCATTCGTACGTGTCGTAAAAAAGGAATGCTATAGACAATATTTTCCTACTTACAATAAGAAAAAATTTTCATCCTCAACAACCTTTTATACTTAAAGTTATAAGAGAAATGCTTATGTGATAGTCCTTAATTTACTTTGAGATTGACAACTTTAGAAATTGTTGTGGGGTCCACTTTTTCAAGAATTTGTGGCTTACAACATGATGTTAATCTCACAATAGCCCAAAAACTATTATGCTAGCAAAGCCTAAGTTGTATTCGTAAACTATATAAACGATCATTTTTCACGAAAGTGTTTTCCAAATAATTGATTTTAATGAAAAATATTTTCATTATCAACAATTTATGCTTAACATTTTCGTCGACGAAGAATATATTTTTCATTCATTCCTTTTATGTAAATTGCACAAATGATCAATTTTTTTTTTAAATTTTCGCGAAACATATGCTTCTCAAGAGACTGTATCTTTCCAAGTTTTCCTAATCACCATGAAAATATAGACATTAATGGGGTTTCTATTTCTGTCACTGTACTAAACCAAGTTGAATTCTTACTGTATAGTTGCTGAAAATGACTTTATATTTTTGGACCTCTACATTACGATAAGATAAATTTCCTTTTTTGGATGATAAGAAGGGTATCCAAACTTTTGGCTCGACTATTTTTCATGAATGCATACAGAAGGCTTCATTCCCGTGGCAAAAGACGAAGGAAAAGCAAGAATCATAATTACCGTCTGTAACTCAGTAGAAAAGCTGAAGTTAAATGTCACTACCCCCAAAGTTTTACACCTGTTCTGATTCTGTCAGCTAAAAAAGAAAGAGAGGGCGAAGAAATTACTTAACGACGAGCTGATCGATTTTTCTATACCTTAATCTGTAACTCAAACAGGAAAAGCTAAAGGCCAACCACTGAGATCCACATATCCACTGTTATGCTCTATAACATTTTGCTTCCGACTCCGAGCAAATGAAGTGACAAACGCAGACGTAGATATGCTCTAGCCGAGGGCACCAAGAAAACTTTAAGGCAAAATTGGAATGAGAATACAATTTATCAGCAATTACCCTTCACAGCCGCCTGACATTGCCATAGAAGCACCCTCTTTCTTTCTAAAAACCAACCGACTTTGGATCCACTTCAGCTATCAACAAGAAGCTTCATTAATTAGGATGTGCAAACACTGATCAGATACCTGAAGTCAAAGGAATAAATGCAACAGTTATAACCACCCTGCAATTATGCAGTCATCCAGATGAGAAACCAGACACTTGCGATTTTTAGCAGGCTTATGACCTTGCCGCTGTGGATCACGTAGAAGGGGAAGCCACCTGCTGCAACCGCTGTACAAGCGATTTAAAACTTCAACATCTGGTGCTACCTGGTAGACACATAAGTGGTATTTAGACCCATCAAGATCAGCAATCAATGTCTTCAAATGCAGTTTCCAACATACAGTAGCGAAATGCTCATATAAACTCAGAATATCCCGCAAGTTATAATAAGAGCATGTCAGCTGATCAGTTCAATGGGAGTAGCCATGAGCCCCAGTTGTTTTACCTTTCAAGAATTTATGTAACATGTTGCTTGTGCTTGGACATAGCAAGAGTCCTTGTACTTTCTGCTGCTACCAACATGGATTCCATTCTGAAACCAGTCCATACGATGTATCCAAGCATCTCAGCCAATATCAAGAATTCCTAATATCTGTTTAAGAACAAAGCATGCCGCAGTAAAAAAGGAATACTTAACCAGTCAAAACACTCCTATCAATATTCTTTCAAAAGCTAGTGTTATATCAGATTTTGGCAAAACAATTTTTTGTGGATTGCACTACAAATTAATAGCATGATGACCACCCGAGAAAGGCTACAACTTCATGAAACGAGTAAGCTCGTCAATAAGAAGTTGCGTGTTTGAATGATGGACATCAATATTGGTGAAAAAATTTAAGTTAGCCAGTGTTCAAATACACTATTTAAGAGACCATGACAAGTTCTGACTTGAGGATAGAATCTCTGTTATGTGACAAGTTTGCATTAACATGGAAACATGGCATGTCTCGATTTGAAGAAGCTTTTCTATGTCTTTGAGATGCTATTTTTCAAAAAGGCACATACTTTTTGAAAATACAATGTCTGCCTTTACCGCCATAATTATTCGCCAAGAAAAAGAGATGGTAGCGAATATGTTTTGCATATTTTGATCAAGAAACCAAGTGAGTTTCTGACACAAATACCTCTCAATTCTCCATCAGGTAGAAAGGAAACGAGTCATATTCAACTCACCAAATATACAGAGTCTTAGACAAAATTCATCTTCTTATATAATAAAAGTGAGAAAATGTTATGATACAATGCTTATCTTACTGCTCATCCATGACACAAAAGCAGGGTGTGTTCTTGATTGCAAAACTTGTCGAATACGCACATAGTATGCAGTGTTAAACAAAAGACTACAACTCATTTTGCTCAATCCAGAAGTGCACAAATTTCAGTCCTAATAGAATTCTCTATCTCACATGCAATGTTCGTAAGTCATAGCTTAAGAATACTGCACATCTAACTAACCTTTATGACGAACTCTTCAAAGCATGAGATGAATGGTGACCAACTCAACTCATGTGATAGAAATGAGACGCCAGAGAAAACCAAGGCTGAACCTTTGAATAAGACATGTTTATAAGAAATTTGGCAAACTACAACTTAGAAGCATAGATAGAATGAAGAACTTTATGCCATCAATAAAAATACATCCACAAAATCGACCCATTTAACATTTAAACATTGTGCTAAATCATCCTGCTTATCATGTGGTTGCCAATACAATGAAATTGAAGCTGCATGACCAGCTAATCTCAATGTCTCAATAACTAAACATAGCAAACAAAACATGACAGCGACATGGCAACGAAAGAGCATACTGACCTCGACTGCATAAATTACTTCATCTGAAGGAATTGCATGAAATACTTTGTAAGAAGAGAATCAACAAGCAATGAGAAACAATTATAGGCTTTGGAACTTCTATTGAAACGTATCTACGGAAAAAGAATAGCAAAATTCTAAACAATAACGCCAGAATCCATAATGGGCACTCAAACACATAATTATTGACCAAAGGTTTGGATTTTTTTTTTAAATTCTCCAATGAAAATTCCTCCTATTTAAATGGAAGATTCCAGAAAACAAAGGAGCATAGCATAAACCAGGTATCATCGAGGGACAGGGCAACACCCGGCTGCCCTACTTTGCTGGGAAAATTATAACATCTGGAAGAATAAAATGAAAGCATTCATCAGATCAACAGATCCTCTGATGTGGGACGTTGTCCAAAAGGGAATCACTCCAACAGCAACTGTTACACCTACATCTTCAGCAACAGGAGAAACAAATGAAAACACATCTCCAACAGCTACAATTACTTCAATGGAGTTGGCCAAAAGAGATGCATTAGATGCTAAAGCTTTTACTCTTTCTATTATGCATTATCTCCTACTGAATATAACCGATTGTCTTCATGTGAAACAGCAAAAGAGATATGGGATAGACTACATGTGACCTTTGAAAGAACTAACAGAATCAAGGAAACGAAAACAAACATTCCCCTTGGCAATTATGAATCCTTCAAGATGAAGTAAGATGAATCAGTGACAGACATGTTCACCAGATTCACTGGAATCATCAA